ATAATGAAGTGCATATACTATAGCACATGCAAGGTTGTATAGCAAGATGAAAAAATAGAAAATTGTACATCCATGAACATACACACAAAATGAATCTTCAATATGGATACTTGTGGTCCAATTTAGTTATAAATGTGAATATAGGGAATATCTGTAAGTTTCTAAACTATTGTGTGCATGACTTTAAAACCATAGAGAGCACTGAGAACAGAGGTGCTGTTGACCTCCCAAACATTGGTATAATGAAACACCCTCAAAGACTTTGTGGTGAGCTCACCCATGGCTGTCCAAAGAATCCCAGATCCAAATCTCCTCTGAACATATCTTGCATAAGAGCATGAACTTTGCAGACAACACTCAAGGTATGGAACTTGGACTGGGGAGAGGACTGTGGGTTTTCCTTGTTGCCTCACTTTAATCACACAAGTTCTTAAAATCAAGACTATTTTCTAGTTTGACTAATGTAATAAGAAAGGCTAAGAAAGGCTGAGATAAATGGCTACCTGAGAACAATCTACATGGCTGTTGATTTTGAACGTGTAGGAAAGTACCACAAGCAAAGGAAGGCAAGTGGCCTCTAGAAGATATGGCCTCAAGAGACTAGTCTTCCCTAGAACCTTCAAGAAGAATGAAACACTTATAACAAGTGCTTAACCCATGGAGACCTTTGACTTCTGACCTGTAAGATAGAAATCTGTGTTGTTTAAGTCACTAAATTTGAGGTGATTTGTTACAGCAGCAACAGGGCACCAATAACATTCTTTCTGCCAAAGTAATTTTGCATATTGGAGAATGAAGAAAGTTCTAAATATTACAGCAAACAGACTCAAGTTCAAATTATTAAAAAAACAATTCAATCTCCCCTAAAATTTTATCAATAAAGAACAAAATAGCAAAGTATAACATGATATGCTCACTAAATTTTTTATAAAATAAGAAATAGAAAAAGGATAAGACCTTTGATAAAGAAGTGATGAAGATTTTTAGATTTGATCAGAGTACAATATCTGAACATTGTCTAGAGTGCCACTAAATATTAAAAATAAAGGGTAAAAGAGTTCTATTGGAATAAGTTACATTTGCCTCAAATCTAAGGCACTTAGGGAATTTTAAAAATTCACTCTTCAACATTTGAACTTCAGAAAGTAAAGTTTCCCAGAATGACATTATCATGCCAAAAAATATTAATGTGCCAGAATGAAATAGTGTCTGTAGGAGGTGATAAAGGTATGAGTTATACCAAATTGTGTGTCTTCATGGGTGTTGTCATACTTCTTATACTTATTATGGACAGCTAATGGGCATAAGAACACCTACCCAAGCCCTTCAGAAAATTAAAGTCATGTGCACAAGCATGGCTCTGACAAATTAAAATACCATTTGTAGACAAATGAAAATGTGCAGTGTTCTAAATATAGATCCTAAGGATATGGAATATCTCTTATTAGAGCAGAACCCACTTTTCCTTATTGACTTGCGCATCCTAGAAAGAACAACCAAGCTATTTACATTACAGATAGAAGCTTCTATCCTGTTAAGTAATAGAATGTGTCAAATGAACTCAGTGCTGTGCTATATACATTGCCACCATCATGGACTCTAGCCATTAGTTGGTTTGGGCTCATTGGCCATCGAAGTGAATGTGAGGAATCTATTCTTCAATGAAATAAAATGTCCAATAGCATATCTTATTGACATGGGCTAGACTAAAGGATCTACATTATGATTATTATTATTTGTTCATGTAAATGTGTATTGTTTTCCTGAATTTGATTATTAGGGGTAAGAAAAGAGTTCACGTTTGAGAAGAACATAGCATAAGGAAAATGTAAAATCCCACACATCATTGTGCTTTAACCCTTTGGAGCCATAGCACCAAGAAAGGGGTTGGCTTTCTATGCAAGCCTCCACCTGCAGACAGCATAGAGATGGTACTGTAAACAGAACAACCACTTCTGCCAGCACCTTGGTAGTAACGTGCTCAGTTAATCTACACAACATAGAGTCATCCTCTCAAAAAGCAATTCACTTCTTTAAAAACTGGATAGAAAATAAATATGGTGCAGTAAAATTGTTGAGGAGAGGAATCTATCTGGACATTTCACAAAACATTTCATTATGCTGACAATTCCCAGAAGTGCTCTCGAGAGCGCTTTAAGCTGGGGATTACTGTGCAGAGCTGATGGACTTTTTTGTAGCCCCTTTAAAAGGCAGTGAACCGTTTTTCTATTTTATTTAAATAATGCCCCTTAAAATGGATTTTTAGAGGTATAATAACTCCTTAAGAGTCAGTTATGCTAAACAGTTTCTCTTGATAGAAATGTTGTAAAACTCGTTAACTGCACAGCCTCAGATGCCGCTTGGTGAACACTAACTGACATGTGAATGACCAGAGTTTGTAAAATAAATTGCAATAGTTGTTGTATCACACAGCTAGCACTGCACAAGCTGGAAGCCACAGGGGACTCCGACCTGACAGAAAATTACTTCAAGATGAATGAAAAGTGCTTGTTTCTCTTTATTAGTTTTTAGAGAACAATGAAAATGTTGAATTGTTTACAGAGGGCTGATTAAATGTGGTCAGCAGGGCCATGTTCCTGCTGCTAAGTGTTGGCCTCCCCCTCCAGCCAGCCCCCAACCTACACACTCACACACCATGGCATGCCAGCCCCGGTCCTGGCCCCCACCATTCGCTCCCTGCCACATGCATCTTCTTATAGGCTATTATGGCTGCACATCTGTGTGTGAAATGTGCTCATTCTGACATTCCATTGCTGCTCAGCACTGCAGAGGCCTTTGTTGAGTAAAACACTGTTGTCAAGCCTAACAAGCAGGTCATGCAATTTGCTGGACGCTGTGGCAAAGAATAGCCTAGGATGAATTACTTCAGCTTCAACAATGCTCATTCCCATACTAGAATACATATGTATTTCTTTTGCTGTATGGCACTACAGAAAGTCATGAAATTTTGCTTTTGGGGCTTTGATTTTTAAAAGAACAGGCTTGTAACAAGGTAGGGTCAGACTTCCACAGAATATCTTTTTGTTGTATTTACTTAGGATAACTAATGTCTTATGGCCAATGGAAAAATGCATGACGTGCTTTAATTGGTCATTTGGGGCTCATATTTCATTTGTATGTAGCATAAAGTACAGTAGGAGGAAAAGCATTAGCCACTATCATATCTGTCTGCTTGTTTTACCTAAAAAGACTGACAGACCAGGGCATTTAGGAGTATGCTGTGGGGAAGGCTCCTCACTATGCACTTCCACAAAAAGTACAAGACCAGGGCATTGAAGAGGATGCCATGAGGAAGGATTTTCACTGTGCACTTCCACAAAGTGAACAGGACCAGGGCATTAAGGAGGATGCTGTGGGGAAGCATTCTCACTATGCACTTCCCTTGAGGGAAAGAATTATGAGAATTCATTAACAAGCATAAGCCACACGTGGAGAAAGTCATTTTATCAAACCAGCTAAGTGAATCAGATTCAGAGATGTTATGGTAAATGAAAAAGTAAAGCAAAGGAACTGTTTTGACTTTATAGTCTTCAGTGGCTTATCACCTTCTTAGCACCTAACCCTTCCTTCTCATACATGTTCACAGACACTGGCAAAAACAGGCAGTTCAAATGTTATTTGGAATGTTCTAATGGGATCCATGGTGCTGCATTTGATGTGCAAGTGAAATTCTCTTGCCTTCAGCACAGACATGTACCCTGAGCCTATTATGTGTATAAACAATGGCATATGTAATTACCTTTCTAGGGTGGCAATTATTCCTCAGAATCAACAAATAGAGTTAAAGCATGTTCCCCCAAAAGACATTTAGGGATCAATTCCGGGTCAATTACATCAGGCTTTGATTTATCACATGGTGTCAGTCTGTTTAAAAAAAGAAAGTTTAAAAAAATATATCATGAGGTAAAGGCTAAAGGTTTAACTCAACTGGTTTGTTTCCAACTTTGTTTCCTCCCAATTGCTCTGCACTTCCCCCAGTCTCTAAACAACAGTGATTTCCTGGGTTTTTATCTGTTGGAGAATGTGTTGTTCAGGAATATTAAATGCAATGAGTCTGGACTTCATCCAGATTTGGTATGACTCTCTACACACTGTACACACACACACACACACACACACACACACACACACACAAGCATTAGCAATTTTTCTGAGATGTAGCTGAAGAACAGAGTGTGGGGATGATAATAGACCAGGCTTTGGAGTATAACTCCATGTGTGGCCCCCATTCCTTCCTTAAGCAAGATGCATTCTTCTCCAGTGGATGATGTCCACTGCCCATGCATGCTCTGAGAGGACTCACATAAAGCACTTGTTCCTCATGAGCTCTTGATGAATGATGTGGTTACTGTTCTAGTAACAGACAAGTCAAAGGAGGAGAAGGGGAGTTTCCCCTTGGAAGAGTGCCGAGGGTCAGTGGCAAAAGAGAGTGGACATTAATTTATAAAGAGCCAGGCTGAAAACTCTTGATGAGGTCCAGGAGAATAGACTGTATAAAAAATATTTGCTTTATTTAGGCTTTTTCTCAGTATACTGACTATAAAGTACAAATCAATAAAGGTGCTATTGTGCTGACCCCATCTTCCTGTCTTTAATATGTCCTTAAAAGAGCCATAGTGGAAAGGGCTACTTTACATCCCATGATCATACATGTGTACTGAGTACAGACTTAGTTTTCACTAAGTATAAATTTGTAACGCAGAGATGTCTTTAACAGTAGGTAATAAACACAAACAGTTTGATATAGCATGAGGTGATAACTAAGAATTCCTCATGACCAGGACTTTGGAAGAGAGACAATCCATGCTATGCTATTAAGGATCAATCCTAGAACTGAAGTTACTAGTTAAAGTAGATCTGTTCCTTACTGAAAAATAAAGTAATAATGTTTTAAAATTAAAAGAAAAGAAATGGCATGAGAATTTTGTCAAGTTATTTAGTAAGTGCTATGGTACAAAGAACACATGAAACTCTTCATAGAAGGGACAGCACTGTTTACTTAACACGGTTCAAGCAACACTATTCATTTGTCAAACAGCACACGGTGACATTGACAGTTCAGTTTGTATTGGCAGCTTAATTAGGAAGTCTGTTGATGATGTTTTAAAAGAATTGTCACATTTTCAATTACATGGATACTACTCAAGACAAAAATGGCTGTTGTTGGCTCACCCATATAAAAATAGGTTACAGAAATGGCATAAGATGCCCAGTGCCTCTAGTAATATCAGCATCTTCACACTGGAAAAGTAATGACTTATTCTCAAGTCCAATAAAAATTTTTAGGGAAACTTTTTAGTTATTCAAGCTATGGGGGACAAGAAATGAATACTTTTAAAAATTTCTCAGCCAGATTTCCAAGATCCTTTGCCAGATGTTTTGTTGCTCTCTGTCCAGTCTTAGATCTGTAAGTCCCAAACCCCAAATTTTATCTAAATCTTCCTCTTCTCCTCACAAGTATCTTACGCAGAATGGTGCTCTTGAGGTCACAGAAGATAGATGTCTGTGGATACAACAGATGTAACTCAGCATCCCACCTCCCAATAAACAATATGGGTTTTCCAACAGACAACTTACACATATAGGACAAAAGTAGAATTGAACTCAAATTAACTCAAAACGTTATGTCTCTAAAGTTTACCAAATATTTATGGAATAAATAGAATAGATTTTATTTTAGCACTGTAAGATAATAAAATAAAACAATAAAGGATTAAAATGTCTTGAATTTCCCAGATTGTTTTGCTGTTGTTGTTCTGTGTTTTATTTTGTTTCTCATTAATGAAGCTTAAAATATTTACAGAATATGTTTTCCCATTCATTTGTTTCTTGTATGAGAGAAACTTTTAACTATGAGCAAAATAAAGAAATATGCATCCTGAAACTAATTGTAGCTTCACTGAAGGCAGACCCTGTACCTTATTTGTCTCCTCATTTTCTCTCCCATCCTTTTTACAGTGAGTCACACATAGTAAGCACTCAATTAACTTGAAAGGCCATGTGTGTCTCAGTCCACATGAATTGGCTGGGTTTCGTTGATTAAGGAGCAGCTGAAATCAACAGCAGTTAATTTCAGGCAAGTGAGTCACACTGACCAAGAGACTTCCTTTGCAAAGCTTTTTAATGAAAGGCTGGCCACTGGCATTCTCAACGTCTGGTTTCCAGTTTTGCTAAAGGTAACATGATGAGCCTCCAAAGGTTCCATTTCCAACCAGAATGGTGTGAAAAGCAGTTTGAAGCCTGTATTCTGTGACTGTCTGACCCAGTCCAGGAGGCAGTACATCTGTGAACAAAACAGGAACCAATTATTTATCCATTTCTTGCTGAGAAGAATGTTCAGAATTACCAAAGTTGTTCTTTGCTGATCATTAAAATGAATGTAGCTCAACATTTCAAAACATAATGAGAATCACCTATGGTGGTAATACTGTTTAAATTTTTTCCTACTTTAAACAATAATTTTGAATTCCATCCCAACCCCAGGTACAGATCCAAGCTTAATAAAATCAGAAATCCCACACCCTATACATTCCATAACACATAAGCATTCCATATTGTATATTCCCTCTTGGGCTCCCATCCCCTAACCTATCATGAATAGAAAAGGCCCTGCTGGCAGCCCATCATACTGTGCCATGTGGATGGCTGAGAACTCACAACTGCCACCAGTAGAGAAGCCAGTGTTAAAGCCATCACCAGGCAGGAGCACATGTTCACCAAAGTTCTAATGGATCAGGCAAGCAAGAGGCCATGTCTAATATGAATAGTTAAAACATATTAATTGTCAAGGGGAGAAGAGCAGGGGTGGGGAGGAAATGAGGGAGCAGGAAGGTTGAGTTGGGGGAAGAATAGAGAAGAGCAAGATAAGAGATACCATAATAGAGGGAGCCATTGTAGGTTTAAAGAGAAATCAGGCACGAGGGAAATGTCCAGAGATCTACAAGGATGACACCAACTAACAATCCAAGCAACAGAGGAGAGGCTACCTTAAATGCCCTCCCCTAATAATGAGATTGATGACTAACTTATATGCCATCCTATAGCCTTCATCCAGCGGCTGATGGAAGTAGAAGCAGACACCCACAGCTAAACACTGAGCTGAACTGGAATCCAGTTGCAGAGAAGGAGGAGTGATGAGCAAAATGGTCAAGACCAAGCTGGTGAAACCCACAGAAACAGCTGACCTGAACAAGGGGGAGCTCTTGATCCCCAGACTGATAGCTGGGAATCCAGCATGGGACTGATCCAGACCCCATGAATGTGGGTGTCAGTGAGAAGGCCTGGGAAATCTATGGGGCCTCTTGTAGTAGATCAGTGCTTATCCCTAGTATAGGAATGGACTTTGGGAGCCCATTCCACTTAGAGGGTACTCCCTTAGCTAGACAAAGGGGAGAGGGCCTAGGTGCTATCCCAAAGGATATGACAAAGTCTGAAGATCCCTATGGAAGGCCTCACCATCACTGGGGATCAGAAAGGAGTAAGGGATAGGTAGGGTGTTAGTTGGGGGGGGGGACAGAGGAGGAAGGGAGGGAGAGGGAACTGAGGTTGACATGTAAAACATTCTTGCTTCTAATTTAAATTTAAAAAAAGGTCTCATGACCTGCAGCATGGCAGGCAGGTGTCTGCAGGGTCCCACAGAGGGTTTTCAGTCATGCTGTTCTCTCTCTCTCTCTCTCTCTCTCTCTCTCTCTCTCTCTC